GATGAGAATGTAAGAAAAGAACTCTGGACAACACTTTGATAATTTCTTATAAACATACATTTACCATGCAATCCAGCAATCTCATTCCTTGTTCTTTTTTTGTTTTGTTTTGTTTTGTTTGTTTGTTTTTCTAGTACCGGGAAATGAACTCATGGCCTTGCACTTCCAAGCAGGTGCTGTGCTTCTGAGCTAAATCCCCAGCCCTCTCCTTGTTATTTTTATTTCACTTGTCAATCAAGTGAAATAAAGGCCACATTCTCACAAAAATTTGTGTAAGAAGTTTTACCATATTTAGATTAACAAAAATCTAAAAAACCCCCAAACCTCTCAACTATGGAATAGATAAGGAAGCTGTGATATATCAATGTATCAGAATACAGCTCAGCGCTAAAAGAGGGGCTGATAGTAATACATAATACAAGAATAAAGCTTAAATGTAGTTAATGAAAGAAGTCATTATCAAAAGGCTGCATACACACTCTGTGATTTCATTTATACGATAATCTACAGAAAGCATCAAGGAGTCTCACTAGTTGGCTACAAAGAACATGGAGGAATTGGGAATAATGAAAGTGCATATTCTATTGTTCTGATGATTAGATGATTCTATTTATTTGTGAAAGCTCACAGAATTAACTCTCTGAATATTTCTTCTTTGGCAGAAGCTGTATGCATTATAGCAACTGTGAAAGAAAGGGCCTGGACAGAAAAAAAGTCAATGAATTAGGCCTAGAAACATATTCACCAGGACACTTGCTACTAAGATCCACATAAGCTGCCTTCCCATTTCTTAAAATTACACACACTATGGGTTGGTAATGGTAGCAGTATCTTCTCTCTCTAGGAACTCCACTTCATGCCATGGCAGCCTGAGCATCTGCTCATTGGGTTATGGAAATCGTCTCCTCTGGCAGAAAGACCAGCTTCTCAGAGAGAAGAGTCACGTTACACCAAGTAGAGGTAAGAAACAGACCCACACACTGAATAGCTTAATATGATGGACGACAGCGACGGCTTGGCGAAGTGGCCACACCAAATGGAAGGAGGCTGTAAAATGAAGTCCAGGTGTGTTCCAGGAAGAAGAGCAGCATCAGTTCTGGTGGACAGGTAGCAGTCTTTTCATGCTCTGAAATCATCCATAACAGAAAGTTAGACTTCCAACTTCTTTCCTTACAAAGAATTTGGCTTTTATCTAGGCTACTATTCACATCTCTAATAATATCATCAGAGCTTTTTATCATTTGAAAACTCTTCTGACAGAAAGATAAAGGATAAGGGCAAAGAAGATAAGAATCATATTTAAGAGAAGTTTCAGTAGTGAGGGAGCTTACGGTTTTGAAGGAGGCTGATGAATTATTTGTGGGTTTAATATGGTACACCGTGTTCTCTATGATCAGATATAATCCATAGGGATTGAGAAAATAATTGACTTTGCAAAATGTTTATTTGACATAATTATTAATGAGGAATCAAGAACTGTTAGGTGTAACTGCTTATGAGTTGACCTGAACTGAAAAGTAGGGTAGGATAAAATCTTTCAGATAGGAAGATGCTAAACACTGATCTTTCTAGACTTTGCAAGTGGCTTTGAAAATGTCAAATGCACAGATAACATGACACTCTACATAGAAGACCCCAAAAACTCCACCGAAAGGCTTATAGATTTAATAACCAAATTCAGTAGCATGGCTGGATATAAAGTCAACACTCAAAAATCAGTAGCCTTCCTGTACACGAACAAACAGGCTTAGAGAGAAATGAGGGAAACTACACCTTTTATAATAGCATCCAAAAAATGCAATACTTAGGACTCAATCTAACAAAGGAAGTAAAAGATCTATACAGTGAAAATTACAGTACTCTCAAAAAAGAGATTGAAGAATATTTCGGTAAATGGAAAGATATTCCTTGCTCATGGATAGGAAGAACCAACACTGTGAAAATGGCCATTCTCCCAAAATTGTTGTACAGATTCAATGCAATCACAATCAAAAACCATTAGCACACCTCACAGATCTACATAAAACATTCCTAAAATTCATCTGGAACCAGAAAAGGCCTAGAATAACAAAAGCAATCCTGGGAAACAAAGGTAAGGCAGGAGGCATCATAATGCCTGACTTGAAATTATACTACAAAGCTATTGTGATAAAATTAACATGGTACTGGCAAAAAAACAGACCCAAAGATCAATAGAACAGATTAGAAGATGCAGACATAACTAAACATACTCAGTCACCTTATCTTTGACAAAGGGGCCAAACAAGCTCACTGGAAGAAAGATAGCCTCTTTAATAAATGGTGCTGGAAAAACTGGCTTTCTACATGCTAAAGATAAAAACTAGACCCATGTCTATCACCATGCACTAAACTAAAGTCAAAATGGATCAAAGACCTAAGTACTAAAACAGAAACACTAAATCTAATGGAAGAGAAAGTCGGTGGAAATCTTGAAGACATAGGAGTAGGCGAGAGTTCATGAGCAAAAACCAAACTGCATGAGAAATACTTGAAAGAATCAACAGCTGGGATCTCATCTTATTGAAAAGTTTTTGTACATCAAAAGAAATCACCAACAGAGTAAAAAGAAAACCTATGAATTGGAAAACAGTGTTAGCCAATGGTCCCTCAGACAAAGGACTTCTATCTAAAACATGTAAGGAATTTTTAAAAATCAGGCCTCCAAAATTCAAAGACCCAATACAAAAATGGGCATCTAAAATGAATACACATTTCTCAGATGAAGAAATACTAGTGTCAAATAAATATATGAAAAAATGTCCAATATCATTGGTCATTTGAGAAATGCAAATTAAAATAACAC